CGTGCTCAATTGGGGATAAGTCGGGAGATCTTGGTGGCCATGGTAACAATGTGACATCATTATGTTGAAAGAAGTCTATTGTGACTCTTGCAACATGTGGTCGGGCATTATCTTGTTGGAAAGTTGGATCTGCCAGGGTATCAAGATAGGGTAAAAGATGGGGTTCTAGAACTTCGTGGATATAACGCTGCGCGTTCGTGTTACCTCTGATGAAGATTAAAGGTGACCTGGAACCATAAGGTATAGCACCCCAAACCATAACTCCAACAGTGTGATGAACATGTCTTTCAACAAAAAACTGTGGATTCCTCCTTTCACCTCGTCGCCTTCTAACCCTTACACCGACGTAATCGCCTTGAGTGGTGCAGACAACGGTCACTCTGGGATCAGGAATGGAACAGTATTGTCTTTAGTGACGAGTCTCGATTTTGTTTAGGCATGCACGATGGTCGTGCCAGGGTTAGAAGGCGACGTGGTGAAAGGAGGAATCCACAGTTTTTTGTTGAAAGACATGTTCATCACACTGTTGGAGTTATGGCTTGGGGTGCTATAGCTTATAGTTTCAGGTCACCTTTAATCTTCATCAGAGGTAACATGAACGCGCAGCGTTATATCCATGAAGTTCTAGAACCCCATCTTTTACCCTATCTTGACACCCTGGCAGATCCAACTTTCCAACAAGATAATGCCGGACCACATGCTGCAAGAGTCACAATAGACTTCTTTCAACATAATGATGTCACATTGTTACCATGGCCACCAAGATCTCCCGACTTATCCCCAATTGAGCACGTGTGGGATATGATGGGTAGGAGATTGCTCAATTTGCAACGTCCTCCTCAGACTCTAGAAGCACTTCGAGAGGAGTTGGTGGTTACCTGGAATGAGATACCACATCAGGGTGCATCCACACATTATTAAAGGTCGAAGGGCTTTAAAGCAGTGCAATCATTTTGAAATTTTTATCATTTACTTATTATGCTTCATTAAGTACTTATAGAAAATTTTATTAAAATAAAACCATTTAAACTGTGTGTTCGGATTTATATGTCACTTAGTATATTTACCGGACACCCTTTTGGGAATAGATACTTTAAGCTACTTCCACGTTATTTTCGACTGTTTTTAAACGTTTTCCTGTGTAAGACGGATAATGTATTCCGATTCTTCGGTCAAATCGGTATAAAAATTAAATGCATTAAATCCTATTTAGGCAATTCATCGTCTTTCTAAATTTTAACGCGTCTTAGCGCCGTAGTGACACTTTTCCGGATGGTCCCTATACTCAAATGTTTTCTACTGTTACACTGAATAACCCCTAGAAGTTTGATCCCATAGTTCTGAAACACCCTGTATAATGGAAATGCTTCATAGGATTGTTAAGAGCCCAGGAGAACCTTTGATCAGGCTGCTCTGGAGAGCGTATTCCCAAAGTTCGAGCAAGATTCACCGGGGACTGATTTCCGTAAGGTTTGTGCCTCCTTTACACATGTAGTAAAGACGACAGTGATGCAATAAATGGGCTTCAGATCTAAAAGACTGCCTTCTTCCTTGAGGAAAATGACAATACTTTTGTCAATATTAGCAAAGCAATCAGGCGTTCTCACAAGTGAAGGAGCGAATATGTATTCGATCCTTAATGCTGTATTGAGCTATCTTTACGTAAATTAACAGCTACAATTGAACTCTCAAAGAAAGTTTAATAGAAACAATGAACAAAAGCAACTGAACGAAATTATGAACAAAGCAACGAAAAGACTTGATACACATTCAAGCATGAAACTAAAAATAACATAAATGAAACCAAATATAAACAACATAAATGATTTGTCGAACTCGATAAGATTGCACGAATCGGTTGGCATGTCTTCAGTCTGAAATCATCTGTAAGCAGTTTTTTTTTGTTATGGCCCTGCTTAATATAGAGTGGATTATGAAATTGATACATATGCTGATATCGAGTTGTACATCCTAGTAAGTCTTCTTTAACTGGAGGATTTTTGCTCCGTCTCTAAAAGGAAAACTTATTGTTAATGATTAATCCTAGTACATGATCTTGAATAAACTTTCTCTGCAAAAAATGGCGTCAAGTAGATTGACTCTATACTTCCTACGCCTTCGTTTGAGGTTTCAAAGACAAGGGGTGAGTCAAGTCGTACCAAAATGCGAAATCGAATCGTGATTAGGTAGGTTCTCTTAGGTACGATGAATCTTCGGCCTCTGCATACAAAACTGTATAAAGCAAATCTAGCATATTTCTGTTTCGATTGCAAATGTAGGGTAAATATGTTTGACTTATTATGTCTAAAAGGTGCAGAGTATCACTGAGATCAGCAGCTTCTTAATAACAAAAAACATGTAACAATTTACAACCATTTACCTCATACAGCTTCCAAATCAGAATGTTCATCCCCTTGAAGCAATGTCTGAAAATGAGCAAGAATCTCTGAAACGTTGTAACATTATGTTCCAGTGATTTTATTTCCGCCGTCTCTGAATCAATTTTCATAATGTTCGTGGTATTCAGAATCGCATAAGTAATGACATACCAGCAAAATATCGACTAAACATAATCAGTCAGTGAAAAAATTATTAAAATCAGCCAATAAATGACATGGAAATTGATACTTAAATTTGGTGCATTATAGCGCGAAATCATAGCTGCCGTTCGTTCGCGTCTGACGTCACACTTCTCTAGTGTCCCGCGTCTCGTCCCATAAGGAACACCTGTTTGCTCGGACAAGTGGTTTCCAGTTGATAAAACTATTGAGTACTGCGTAAATTCATACCATTATGCACGCCGCATGTGAAGGTACGTAGAAAAAATGTTCATTAGGGGTTGTAATTGTTGTGCTCGTACATTTTGGAACGGTACAGTATTTATAATAACCTTTTTTTCTTATTTCACTCATAACCGATCGTATATGCAGTCAACTAATTAAACAAATTGGGGCGGAAGACGTTTAGCCTACCATGTGTCTCGCTGTATGTGTGCCTATGCATGTGTTTAGGAGATTGAGTCGGCTCGGGCAAAGAAATTGGCCGCGGGCGCTGCAACGGGATACTGAAGTCTGAAGTGTGACGTCACACGTAACGTACAGACGGAATAAAAATATTGTCGCGGGGCGCAACTTTGATGAGCTGTAACTTTTCAGTTTTTAGAGACATATTTTTTTTTCACTATACTGTTTCATTTTTCCTAGACTTTCATTTGAGCTAATAACAAAAAAATGGTAAACTTGTCCATTTACGACTACTTAAACGACGGAAGTGTTAAACTCGCCATAATATTCGAACTTCGGTTCACAAGTTTTCTGTTGCTTAAAGAGTTCTCATTTATGTCGGTTTGTCAGTCCGTGTCTGTTATATATCAATGCGTCATAAGTACTGAGTCAATCTACTTGACGAAATATTCAGAGAACCATCATAGACGAAGTAATACAAATTAATTAAAGGTTAGGCGAAATGGGTGGTACATTTAAGGATCATAAAATGCTGAAAAATATGTGTAGATATGAAAACAGTTGAATCGACATTTACAAAAGCCTCGCGTAACGCTAAAGTGTACGCATTCCTGATATTCAAATTTTGTTAAAATATAGATACGCTTATTCAGTCAACAACAAAAAAAATTCAAGTTGAACAATGATGGAGAAATTATCGGTTACGCTCATGACACAGCGATTGTTTATTCAGACTGATTCTTAAAGAAACAAAATTGTATTGGATTCTCAAAAGGTTATATATTTTTTCACGGAAATGATTTTAACAGTCAGCTTCAACAAAACATTTTTTATTACATTTTCCTGAGACAATAGATCTTACTCAAATTTTAATCACCTCCAAATTAAAACGTTGAATAGCTACAAAACCATACAATCGGTTGATAATTTAAAATATTTAGGGGTATTCATAGAAAACCATCTAAGATGGCATAACATGTTGGACAATTAATAAGAAAAGTAAGATACCAACATTTCAGCGGTTATTTGACCGAAAAATATCTACACGGCTCAGTTCAAGCGACTGTCCACATGAAAGCCAATATATTGCAAAGATATTTTACCATATCCCAATTAGAAATCCATTGTTTGTGTATTGTCTTTGTTTAAGGCTAGTCTATTTGCAAAGAACCAGTCTTCAATGTACTGCAATTTCTTGACCAAGGTCTTCAAGTTTCCTTCCACAAATAGACGTAGTGTCAACAGCATATTTTTTTTATATCGAAGCAGCCGCGCAGAAGCCTAAATGCCGGAACACCGCAGCTGCTATGATGATCCCAAAGAAATTTTATTAATACGGTTTTTGAACTGCCTAAGGTTAATAGAACTGGGAAAAGCTTCCTCTTGTAGATTGTTCCACAATCTCGACACCCTCGGGACAAAGGAGCGGTCGTATCGGCCGGTTCTGGATGTACGAAGTTCGACACGGTTAGGATGGGACGCCAAAGTTAGGCGGGTCTGTCTGGCAGGCACATAGCGCGACGGCATCATGGAAGAGAGCTCTGAGGAGCAAAGCCCGTTGGTGTATCGATAGAAAAGAGCCAGATCGCCGACAGCCCGCCGGTGCGAAAGAGTCCCGAGACCGTCTGTTAGAGAAGAGTCATCGGACCGCCCTCCTCTGGACAGCATCGAGCATGGATAATGTAGTCGGGGCGGCAGCACCCCAAACGAGTGAGCAATACTCGAGGCTAGGCCTTATCTGGGCCTTGTATAAAGTGAGAAGGTCATGCGGAGAAAAGTACTTCTTAGCCCTAAACAAATAGCCTAGCTTTTCCCAGCAGCTGCAGCTATTGACGAGATGTGTTCGTGCCAGATCAGGTCCTCGGTGATCTGGAATCCGACCAGCCGAAATGAATGGCTCTTTGGCAGAACTCGACCATCCATCGAAACCGGATGAGCGCTAGGACGCTTTTTGTTCATCAAAGTACATTACTGCGTTTTGGAAGCATTGAACTGTACAAGATTGTTGCGTCCCCAAGCAGTGATAGCCTCCAAGTCTCTTGTCAGAGAGGAAGTCATCGCTAGTCTTCTTTTTTCCAACTCAGCGGCAGAGATCGGCTTGTCACTCTGAATTCCTGCATGTAGAGTGCTGCGATCAGCGAAGCTGTGGAATGGGTTGAACGTGCAGGAAAGGAGGTCGTTGATATGTAAGAGAAACAGTGTCGGAGCCAAGACCGATCCCTAGGGAACACCCGCGTTGACGTTGTGGGATGAAGAGGAGAACCCGTCAATTACGACGGCTATCTTGCGGCCGGAGATAAAGTCAGCCACCCATCTGCAAAGCTTTTCTGGAAGGCCATAGGATGGAAGTTTGCTTAAGAGGGCCACAGCTGATCGAACGCTTTCATATAGTACTGAACGTTGAACAAAGTGGGACCTACAATGCAACCCAGGGGTACCCCTAACCTAACCGTCTAAATGACTGATTTTTCTTTGTGCAGTGCTTCGTAAAGTGTTCCGTCATCCAGGTATGAAGATACGAGGGCGGTCCGATAAGTACTTAGCCGATGGCGCCACTATCGTAAGAGAAATGTACTATCGTGTTTGACGCTGATCAAGCGCGAAACATGGATCCACTGGAACACACCAGAGACCAAGATACAGTCAAAACGGTGGACTTCTCCTATCGGCCGGAAAGGTGGCCACCGTTTTCTGGGATTCACAAGGTGTGATCTACATCGACTACCTGGAGAATGAGGAGGTTATCGCCGCCACGGAGTCCTACTTTGCAAACCTCTAGAAAACGTATTTTTCAGACGAGTTAAAGAAGTTGAAGCATCGCTGGGTCAAGTTTATCGAGCTAAAAGGAGACTATGTTGAGAAATAAATCACCACTTTTGTAAAATGTTCATTTTATTTTGTAGGCTATGTACTTATCGGACCGCCATCGTATAAGCTGAAGACTGTTATTATGAAAACCATATCTGGACATTTCTTCCACCAGTAAAACATGAAAAATACAGTAAAAATCTTTCGTTAGGTCGAAAAAAGTTGCCCTTTAGTTGTAATAGCCATGACAGCCGGTACACATGGACGCGTTTTGACGGTGCGGTAACGCAACGTAACAAGATGGATTTTGATCATGAAGAATGTGTTTTATTTGCATATTACGTACATAAGTATATTTGTAAAAAGAAAAAAATACTGGGTACACCCTTATGAGTGCCCCTGCATTAAAAGGAGCATTTCGTGATTTTTCGGATCTGAAAAATGACGAGGATAAGTTTTTCAATTATTTTAGAATGAGTTCCAAGTCGTTTGACGAATTACATGTCTCCTCACCTCTGCAATCAATATTTCAGTGTCTATATCACCGTACGCCATTTTCAACGCACTGCTTCGTGTGCACTCAATGATATAATCTAATGTACAGCTTCGCTGTCGGAACGTCGAAATGTCGTTGACGAAGCAGTCACCGCACGTCAGGATTTCAACGGTGGACGTCGACATCTTGCGACGGCGTCCCGTGTGAATTGATCCATTTACGGCAATGTATTACCGTAACATGCGTATTTTAACGTTTGCGTTACCGCACCGGCTGTAAGTGGTTTCAGCTTTCAGTTGAATTGGGTTCTGATGGAACATGTTAATTAATACTTCAAGTGATCAAGTGGCTCACCTGCAGTAGCAGGGGCTCTGTTTTCCTTCTGCCTCCAGGAATCATTTCTGTGACGTTGGGTAGATGTAGCCGTAGAATTAATCCTGATTCTACCAGACCCAATCGACTCAGTGCGTGTCCGTGCGTACTTAAAACCAGTACCGGCTGGGGCACTCGTGCCAGGTTGAGGCTGGTTCTGCATGTCACTCCTGTAAATTTTGTTTTCAATGAATACGTTGATATTGTCATTATTAGGTGTTTTAATACTTGTAGATGTGTGTACATTTAGGGGTCTCGATGCAAACAACCCATTGTTACGAAGCGACAAAACTTTCTACACTTGGGGTAATCTAAAATGCTGGTTTTAAATATGCTGTTTTCATATCTGTATATATATAGCTTCCGCCTTTTGTTGGGTACTTCGACAAAATTCAAGCAAAAAGGACTATTTATACTTTATGAATATCTAGCTGTCAATGGATTTTGCCATCTTCATCAGGAGAGTCGTATGTGAGATTGTTGCTAAATGTTATTAACGTTTAGGTTGAGGGAAACTACCAGTAACCTGGTGAATGCCGGATACATGGTACATTCGTCAAAATAGCGGAGCATTCACCAGGTTACTGGTTCTTTCCCTCAACCTAAACGTTAATAACATTTAGCAACAATCTCACATACACGACTCTCCTGATGAAGATGGCAAAGTCCATTGAAAGCTGGAGATTAATAAAGTATAAAGAGTAATTTGAATTTGCAGAATTTTAGATTATCCCTGTCTATAACGGAGCTCACTTTATTGCATCGAAAACGTCAACGTTACTAGGAATCATTTTTGGCAAAGTTTCATATATTGCCTAGACAAAGCTTGCCCCTTAACCAAAACTAAGTTAAACTATACTGAATATAATACTGATTGGATTGACGCCAGTATTGTATCTGAAAGCAATTCTTTGAAAGACCTATTTTGGTTATCAAAAAACATAAATAGTCTGGAGATAAATGAGAGATATAAAGAAGCAAAAAAAAGTCTATGCGTCAAAACTTCATCTGAGGAAACAAGCATTCTTCCAGAGAAAAATCGACTTTTCTGCCAACCCACCAAAGGAAATATGGAGTATTATAAATAGTAGATTAGGTAAACCGAAAAAGCAGGGAGATGCAGTACAATTAATCTGGGATAATAGTATAACCAGTGCCGAGGATATGCTACTATCCACATACGATACTTTAGAGAGCCATTGTTCTATACAGAACAATCTAAGATCATTGTTCTTGAATGACTTCAAAAACAAACCATCGAGCGGCCCAGATGGCATACCAATTAAGGTGATAAAGTTTGTGGCTGACGACTACCTTATATATCCCCTATGTGATATATTTAACCTTTCTATCAGTACAGGAACATTTCCAGATAGCTTGAAGCTAGCAACCATCATTCCTGTGTATAAAAAGGGAGACCGAGAGGTACTTGACAATTAGAGGACAATAACACTAGTCTCTTCTTTTTCTAAATTATTTGAATCAACTGTCCACCACCGACTAAACAATTTTATCATTGAACACTCAATTTTGTCACCAAACGAACACGGATTTACGCCTAGACTATCCACAAATACAGCTGCCTTCACACTTTTAAGTTATATCCATGAGTCTGTAGATAGTGGGCGATATACCCTGGCTCTCTTCTTCGACCTAAGTCGAGCCTTTGATTGTATTGATCATAACCTCGTTGAAAAGCTCAGACATACGGGATTCAGGTCACCAGTAGATGCATGGATAAAATCTTTTGTATCGAACAGAAAAATAAAAGCAAGAGTGATACCAATTCAAACACATTTGAAATAAACTTGGGGGTCCCTCACGGATGTATATTATCCCCTCTCTTGTTTCTGTTGTTTATAAATGATATGAGTGGGAGCTGGGTTAGTGAGGACGCCAGAGTAGTACAGTCGTAGATGACACAACTATCACTATAAGCGGAAAGTCACCCGAACAACTCGAAGATAAGGCAAACATTATTTTACTAAAATTTTCAGAAAACAAGTTGATAGTAAATTCATCCAAAACAAAGTATATAATAGTGTTCTATAAAAGGCGAACTATACCTGCTCTGACGCTCACGCTAAACAGTACTACCATAGAGAACGTGGAGAGCCACACATTTCTGGGTCTCTACATGGACGAAACACTTTCCTGGGAAAGATATATAGAGTATGTGGCTGGTAAGCTTAACTCAGCATACTTTGCATTAAGAAACCTACGGGGTCTAGTTAGTCATAGGTGTCTCCTTAATACTTATTTTGCAATGGCGTACACATGAAGTACTTGGTTATATATTGGGGCATTTCTTGTGGCATACAGAGAATATTCATTTTGCAAAAGAGGCTGATTAGATTAGTATTTGGTCTCAACCCACTCGACAGCTGTAGACCAGTATTTAAAGATTTTAAAATTTTAACATTACCATCATTATTGATCTACGAGTCATGCTTATTTGTTAAAGAACACACAGATTTATTCCCCCAGCGCAGTGAAATACATGCTTACAATACTAGGTATAATACCCATATTCATATTCAAAATTTTAACCTTAGTGCTTATAAAAAGAGTCCGATGTATTTATGTAGTGCTATGTATAATAAATTGGCTTTAGATATTAAGCAGATTACCAGCTTATCTTTGTTCAAAAGTAAACTTCGGAATTTTATAGTACCAATGAATTTTTGTGCGAGTAACACGTTATTTTTATGTGTTTCTGTATCCCAATTCTTTCATGTCAAGTACTAGTTATTCACATCTTTTCTTTTCATTTTGACGTTTTGTATCTTATGTACACAAATAAAGCATTAATTCTTTTCTGTTCTATGGCCATGAAAAAGTTAGTGTATTAAAGCCCAGGTAATTGAATAAGATAAAAATTACCTTTGCACTGTCGCAGATGCTCTTCTATTGTCTGATGTACTAGGTCCTGCTGTCTGGCTTTCAGAAACACTTCTGTTTCTTTTAACTGGCTGCCTCTGCTGTTTGCCTTTACCTCCACGCATTACTTCATTGATTTTTGGCTGAAAAATAGAAGCTCATTTGATAAAGTCCAGAACCAAGTATTACTAAAATACAGATTTTCTTGACTCAATCTCTCTCTTTGCAATGATCAACATATTCCAACCTTATTACACAGATATATTGTACTGGGTATCCTCTGATGGATTATTTCAAAAATCTTAACCATTTTTATGAATTATGACAAAATAAATGAGTTCTTACCTCAACGACTCGGAAGTCTTCTATAGTCTTAAACTTTGACAGATATTTATTCAAAGTAGGATTGACAGTCAGGTGGCTACCGTGTTTGTAATATTTAAGGAACGCCCAAAACTTCTCCAGGCCATATAGTTGTCCATTCTCGTAATCTTTTATGGTTTCCATTTGGAAGTCTTCATAAAGCTGCGGTCGGAATTTGACCTCCAGTCCATAAGAGAAGAATCTGAAGAGACATTCCAGGCCGTATCTGTAGCCGTGCTCAGCATCCTCCAAGGCAAGGGTTTTGAATTCGTTATACATAGTACGGTTGAAGTTCTCTCGTAGGAAGAAGGACCAAAATCGGAATAAGGTGTTCATCTCATTGGATTGACCAATGCCAAACCTCTTACGTTCTGCAAATGATTATCAAATGAAGGGTATCTTACAACCTTGGTCTTAACTTCTAGTTATCCATGAAAAAGAAGTTTTCAATATCATGTTTGTAATAAAACTTCAATCAGAAGACCATCTATGAGGTCTGTAGTTGAATAGCAATACCCGACGTTTGTTGAAACAGACTTTGGCGTTTATTCAAAAATTTACAAATGCATAAATCAATTTATCGATAAATACGAGGGTTGTCTCACCGTCGTGTTTGTCGGCTCCCCCACCACCGATCCCAACAAGAAGCGCCTATTTGCGATGCTCAGTGCCGGACCGACGCACGCAAAAGCGTTACCACCCATAGAAATCGAGTAAAGTACATGGGGAAACATGTATAAGCATTCAACATGTCCTCAAATGGTGAAGAGAGTGCTTTGACGGCCGCATGGACATCCACGATGAAAACGAAGCAGGAGGCCGTCGATCTCCGAGGACGTTGTGGTTGAAGATTGAGCAAATCTTGCTCGAAGATCGGCGAATCACGATCCGGAACAAGCGGTTGAAATTCATGAGGCTTCTGAAAAAGCCGAGATGGGCAATTCAAAATCGTAGTAGGGCGAAACTCAGCAAAGCGTAAGCCTGCTCCACAACAATGCGCATCCTCATGTCTCACAACAAGCAAAGGGCTTAGCGAGCGATTTGGCTGGGAAGTCATTGCCCATCCCCTGACAGCCCTAACATACCGTGTCCGAAATTGAAGGACCTCCTAGGCGGTCAACGGTTCGAGACGGACGAGGAATTGCAAGACGCAGTTACCAAGTTTCTAAACGGGCTGGCGGTGCACTTCTTTGAGGTGAAAGTGCAAAAGTGGATTTCACGTCTAAAAAAATGCGTTGAAAAAAATGGCGGCTATGGAGAAAAATAGCTTAAAGATAAACGTTTCCCCATGGTGAATTCGTTTTTTAAAATAAAAAACTCCGTGCGCCTAAAAAATGTGGGAACCTCATTTTTGAAACAACCCTCGTATAAATTAAAGCTAAAGTATTTATAAAAAAAACTGGAGAAAACAAAAGTGTATCCCACATTATTTGAGATTTTTAGAAAACATGTAAATCTCATAGCTACTATGTAAGTAACAGTGTTGAAAATTTGAATTTGAAACGTCCATCGTAATAAAAAAATGAAAAAACAAAAAATCAACATTACCAGGTGTTCCCAAGCAGTTGCCCGTCCAAATACTAACTGCGCCCAAAGCTGCTTAACTCCAGCGACCGGATGAAAGATTGATGATTCGTTCGCGAACTAAGAACTTGTTCGTTTTAGTGAGTGACACCTATTGAACTAGCTAACCAAAATGAACTGGAAAGCACATTACTTTCATAGATAATCCAGTTGAATTGCCGGATATTGTGATCTTTATCCGAAATTCTGCCAGACATGAAGTCAAGTTTTAATGCTTGATGCTTTAGTTTCAGTGTTAGTACCTAGTGTCGTCAAAAATAGTCAAAATAACATAACATGTTTGGATTTTGAAATGAACTTACCCTTGAGACATTTCGCTCTGAACTTATGATACGCCTGCTGGGTGAAGTTGTTCTCCTTTAGTAATGCGTGAGATGGATGTTGGAATGACGGCAGAGATTGAGGAACACTGCTACCGTAGCTACCATAGCTACCATAGCTTGTGCCCAGGTGAGCATCATTAGGGCTGGTACCATAGCTGCTTCTGGAAAAAAGTTCATAGCCTCTCAAATGATTGTTGGCACACTGCGGCTAGAGGATCACGCACACGACAAATGAGATATTAGATACCAGTTAAATTTGCATAAAATTCTCCATCTTAATAATAGCCTCATACCCAACATACATAACCGAAAAAAATTACTAACAAATACAAAACGAAAATAAACATTCCTCACAATTACAATACAGGTATGAATAAGTACCATGTATCCATCTATGTGTCTTAGATGTTCCATTCAGTTTTGTTCAAATTAGAGCACGCTACAAGTAATGGTAACTTATGCATATTTTTTTAGCTTTTGGAGGTTTGACGATTGTGTGCTTACGAAATACAAAATTTGATTTATTCTAGGATTGTAGGGCAATCTATTAAATTATTGAGCAGTTAGTAAACAAATACTAATGAGGCATAGCAACTACGTTGTTTAAAATGACTACACAGTTCCTCATTGACTGCAAATCTCTCGCTGGATATGTCACGCCAATCCTGAACAAAACAAATTTTGAAAACATCTGCTATACTCTTTCAATAGCTATAAAAATCTTTTTTTAAATTAAAAAAAATGGTTTCGATCCCATCCACACCAACTTTTAGTAAATCTCTACAGAATAACTAGAGTTTCCATAAAAAGAAATGCACTAATTTATTTAACTTGACCAGATAGAACATTTATGTACACCACTATTCATGTCTGACTACATATGTATTTATTTACGAATTATTATGTCGCGCCATTCACTGAACTATACTCTGCTTCCCTCTCGAGGTATATAGTCCGCATCGCAGGGACTGGTTGAATCGAGAATATTCCGGTGAGCCACATAGCGGCATTCCAGAATCTTCGAGGTCACTTCGCGTCGATCTCGAAGAAAAGTCCCTGGCAACGTCCTCAACAGATGTCGCCACCGAGGGATAGTCTGGCGCGGTCCCCAACAGATGGCGCAAACAGTACTATTCATTCTTGTTACAATACTTATCCGCGAAGAAATTTCCCGTTAGTTTAACCGATCTCCAAAACCCAATGTATCGTTGTGCGTGATCCTTAACACAAGAATAGTGTAAAAAAAATTAGGCGACCTCAAAATCTTACGTATCATCGTAAAAGGACAGTTTCGACAGTACTATAATTTACACATTTTATTCTATTTATACAGGGTGGCCCAACGAGTTTATAATAAAATATTGTGATAATAAGGGATTATATCGCAAAAATAATAATCAATATAGTTCCCATAGTAAGAAGCCTTTACTTTAAAATTAAAGTCTCCAAGTATTAAAAAAAAACAAAAGAAACAGCTTCAAGTTTACACGCACACACGCAAAATAAACAATAATTTGCTATAAGGAGGTAGGTAAATTTGGTAATAAGTGCTGAAAGTGATGTCCATTTACCAATAATAAAGATTTTGTTCGAATCTATTCCTCACACGTTCCAGCATGTCTTGAGTTATTTGTCTACATTCAGTCGTAATCCGCTGACGAAGATCTTGAATGGAATTTGGCTTCGTACTAAAAACTTTACTTTTCAAATGCCCCAAAGAAAGTAATCTAAAGGGCTTAGGTCCAGAGATCTCGGCGGCCACTCGATGGGGTCTCGTCTGCCGATCCCCTGATTCGGGAAATGGGTGTCCAAAAACTGTCGTACTGGAGCCACATAGTGCGGCGGTCCACCATCTTGTTTGAAATGAATGTAATTTTCATTATAATTAACGTCATTTTCTATTAATTCGGTAAATCGTGGCTCTATAGTATTGTCATGTCCAAGTACGTCTCGCCCGTCAAGTTTCCAGGAATAAAGAAAGTTCCTAGAATATGATTTCCGAAAATGCCGGCTCGCACATTAATTTTTTCAGGATTTTGCGAGTGGACCTCTCGAAACAAATGTGGATTCGAGTCACTCCAATATCGAAAATTATGTCTATTCACAGCACCATGTAAATAGAACGTACACTCATCCGAGAAACAAATAATAAACAACAGATTAAACGTTGGGACATTAATTCGCAAGACTCCAACCTTCTATCAAAATCGTCTTCATTAAGCTCATGGACAAGCTTTATCTTGTACGGGTGAAATTTGAAGTCTTTCAAAATTCTTTGTACTGTTGAGCGTGTAAATGCTGAAGAAGTAGCCAGTCCACAAGTGTTTTAGGTGTTGTAAAGTGTCCCAAAACTGCTATTTCTGCGGTTTCATTTCTAACTGGTCAACTTTCTCGATGCCGATTACAGCGAATATTAGGCACTGATCCAGTTTCTTCAACTTAGCCACATACTTATCGTTAATATTTTTTGTCTGGATGTAACGCATCAAACATCTGGGCAGTAGTTCTTGCAATGCTACAATTTTGGTAATACAGTTTTGTTATTCCTACCTTTTCTTGAATTGAGTACGTCATTGTTCAATATTTATCACAACTAGGTAGGTAACTTGACAATTTGAAATGAAAGACAATTTTTTTCTATTCATTGTTATTGTTTGCCTTGCATTCCATTATTATCAGTATTAAGTTAGTCGAATTTTATTATAAACTCAAATAGCTTCACAACGATTGAAGATAAGTATAAACTTTATACAAAAGTTACTAAAAACTTCATGGAAAATCTAAAATTTAAAACAAAAAGGGTGTTTACATTTAAAAATGTAAAGTGTAACGCAATATCTTATTTTTGGATTTCCCTGTAGTGTACGGCTATAGATGAAAAGACGCCCCTTAGAAATCAAAATTGCCGTGTCCGAGAGTTTTTTCCAAAATATACCGTGAGTCACAATGGGGGTGCGACCTTTTCGTTGGGCCACCCTGTATATTGTTGATGGTAATTATTTCTGACGATTTATTTTTAATATATTGTCTTTTGTGTCGTGGGGGTACTTACCCAGTAGAAGTGGTTCTGAACCGATGTTCTCTGACATCCATGATCCAGCCGACGTGTTGTTCGACAGGCGGATTGCTGGAATGTCGCGTTTTACGTTTCCTAGGCGTACAAGGATCCGGTGTAGCGTCATCCTTGACTACAGCATAGAATCTAGGAACGTTACGATGACCTGGGGTCGAAGGAGCTCGCCTATTGTCGGATGTTGTAGCTCCCGCTGTTTCACCGTCATCCAACTAAATAAAATGAACCCATATGGTCTACTGTTTTCTCAAATAATTTTCAGGTCATATGAAACCATATATCAGCATGTAAATCATAGGATAAGTTTCGGGTTACATTATTCGATCTTTCTAGGGCCCGGTTCTTTCAGTCCAGGCTGTCTACGACCTTGGTCTTGAACCGTTTTTCAATATCACAGGGGTGCTGGCGACCCAAAGCATGAATTTAAGTGTGAAGCATGAGATTTCCAAAAAAAGTAGTGAGAAAACAGTGATAAATAGTGAGTTTATACATTAAAAATGAGTTTTCTGAACAATTGAATATAATGCCAAATTTAAAAGTCAGTTTGCTTATTGTATTGCTCTCATTTGATACCCATATCATATACTATGGAAATGATGAATCACCTTTATGTAGCATACGCCATATTAGATTTAAAATGGCAGCAGTTAATTCATTATGTATTGTCACCCAAACGAGACCAAGACACAAAATTTCGGCGCCATTGGTTAAGGTTAATTGGTTCAAAGTTCAGTTTCAGGATTTGTCCCACACATGTATACTAACCGGATTTTATTAATTCTAGTAATTTCTCATGTAATAAATATTGGAGAGAACATGTACAACTTTATCATAGTAGATTTTTATTGAAAAGAATCTCTTCATTTAATTTCGTGGGGCCTGAGAGGAGGATAGCTCCAACGTTCATAAATACAATATCTACAGCAAGAGCGAAAATAGTGAGAAAAGTGGATGTTTTAAATGAAAATTGAGATGAATAAATAAAAGTGAGAAAAAGCGAGTCACCAGCATCCCTCTCAACTTAAAGAGTTTTTCAATATCATGTTTACAATAAAACGGTAGTTTTTTTAACGTTTGTTGACATAGACTTTGGCGTTTATTTAAAAAATCACATTTACTATAAATACAGGGTGTTCCTTAATGATATGCGAATATTTAAGGGTGTGAATCTACAGGAAAAATTAATGTTAGTTTGCTTTATAAACTATGGTCCAAAAATGTTTCCTTACAAAAACTCGGGGTGTTGAAGTTTTAGGAAATGGAAATTAATTAATATTTTCAAAACCGCTTCAGATATTTAGTACGTAGGGAAAGTTAATAAAGTTGCATATTTTTCAATGCAAAAGTAATTTTTAGCTTTAACAGTGGCGTGCGTACGGGTATTGACTTCGATATTTTTTGAGGAAAAAATGGTACGCCAATGGTTTTTTGCCAAATAAAAGTTATTTTTGAATTCTCCGTTCAATTTAAAACAAATGATCCCTCTTGAATTTTTTTCCTTCGATGCGCCATTTTTGAGTAAAAAAATAAAAACCGTTCTATTGTCTAACTTGCAAAATTATTGATTTAATTGTATAAATTAAAGCTCAAACACGTTAATGGGTGGTTTGGTATAGCAGAGACGAAGAGGCAAAAAGGCCAAAGATAATCCGCCATCGGCCGAATTGCTTTGACGAAATTTCACGACCTGGACTTTCTTGTAAGATTCCGTCTTTCGAAAAGGACTGTAGAAACACAACTCTCTGACATTTTGTCAGCTAGTAAACTTCTTATCACCTTGAAAGTAAGAGTACTTTGCAATGAAAATGGTGAATACGAAAAAATGTTTCTTGGGCCTATAAAGGAACTATCAAACTTTTATCAGAGCTCGGAGAATACGGTCATTAAGAAATTCATAACACGCCAGGACAATCGTTGAACACTCCACGTTCTGGACAAGTACTCATTGTAGAGATATTTGCCTCGAAGAAGAGTGAAATGAGAATTTCAAAGAATAATAACTTACAATCGGTGGCGGAGGTGGAGGCACCTCAGGGTTTGGTTTTTTCGGTGTTGGAGGGGCAATTTTCTTAAAGTCCTCTTGGCTAATCACGGTAACAGTCTTATAACTTTCTACAGAACCTCTATCCTGAAACATAAATCAATATATGTATGTGGTGACAATCCAAAAAATACAATACCGCAAGTATCATACGGTGTGTAACCTTAGCAACACATAAGTCACATGACGAGTCTTGCCACTAGGTAGACAATACCTAACTAGTGTTTATTTATACATAATTGCCCACAGACTAATCTACTCTAAAGGGTCTTCCATTCGTAAAAATAGCAATAAAGGTCACGCGAAAGGTTTTCGCGGCCATCATCCAATGTTATTTGGTTGGTTTTTGGATAGTAGGCCGTCGTAAAATATTTTTACTTGGCGTTTCGCCAACACGACTGGTTGGCATCTTTAGATTTTCACAGTTTGGAGTCCGGTGAGCTGTGAGGACTCCAAAAATATTTTATGACGGCCTAACTACCCAAAAACCAACCAAATAACAATACAGGTCACCCCTACAAAGCTTCCGGCCGAGGCCGTTACCACCGATAGGGCAGGAGTTATGTCGGGGGTAACGCCTAGGCCCCATTGATATTTTTGAGCATCATGGTACAAATTTCGATTCAGCTGGTATTCATTGAATTCCACCCAAAGTGTTTTTCCATTACTTTTGTATCGGATCATCTCGGTACTTACGTATTCTTGGTGATTCCATAGGTCTTCTTCATAATAATATAGTCCATCGTTGATAGCTTGTTCCAAGTCTTGTGAAATTTTGACGCGCGTTGTCCAATCTCCAGTACGATCGTATCCTTCATGTTTTGGCGCTCTAGTTGATGTTGACTGCGTCAAAATCAACAATTTATTCACATCCCTATCGCTCAGTTCGTCAGAATCTTCTTCTGCGTTCCTGAAAAAATCACGATTCAGAGGTGTCAAAATTCAAACTCTTTATTTTCCTGTTGATTAAAAAACAGGAATTGTCAATTAAGCTTAAAACAAAATAACAGTAAAATAAAACAAAACAGGTGACAATGAAAACAAACTTTCCACAGTTAAAACATTAAAAATGCCTATAAGAGAAAAACTCAATCAGAAAACTTCTCAAATTTCGTTTGAAGGAGTTCACGTTTGTATCCGAGTTTATCGTATCTGGTATATTATTGAAAAAATTTAATCCCAAGTAAATAGGTGGGACTTGGCTGCATTTATAAAAAATAAAATAAAAATAGGTAAACGTAACTGACTTTTTATTCTGGTATTGTGCGTGTGAATATAACTGTTTACAAAAAAGTGGCTATTTCTAGTATATACAAAGAAGTCAATGTCAGTACTAAAAAAATGTGTAAACAGCTCTCTACTCTAGTGGTTGTATGCCTTGTGCGGAGTGCTTGGTCAAAATTTGAAAGAAATATAAGGAGCAAAATATTTGTATCAAACCATCCTGTAATCTGGTTGAAAATGGAAAAAATCATTTTTCTTCTTTTGTTACTATTAAAAAAGCAATTGGAAAGAAATGTTTTTTCAAGGAATGTTCCAAAAAACAAAAATACGGGGCGGATCTAGAAAATGTTTTTGAGGGGTCTCAAACGCGAATTTAGTAATTTGTCGGACCGGAGAAACCGTACAGTGTATCGATCTGCCGTTGTGTAGGGTTATTAGGGATACATCGAGTATGTAAAATCTAAAAACATTATTCGTCATTAGCACTCACAAAAATGTAATCGATTTTCAAAAACATGTAAAAAGCAACTTTTTAAATTTTTTTAAATCAAAATAAATTTTCAAACGTTGCAATCAAATCTTATAGACAGTTTATTCCATTTTTCGGAAATACACTTAAATTCTCTGCGCAACTGCCAGATATCAGTGGTCGATGACAAAAGGATGCTGTTTCATGCAAAGTCAGATATCACCGCGACAAATGGTATCGAGATTTTAAAAACAGGATATTGAAGGTGAATAAACGGCTTATCTCATCCATATGATGTCCTAACTCCTAACAGAAAAAAGGCAAACATTTTGCATTTTTTTTGGTGCTATCTGTAAGAATTGCATGAGAACCGTTGCTCCTAAAAATGTTCGGTTAAGAAACCCGAAAGCTCGAATCTTAAAGCATCAAAATGCTTTTTTTAAGTCTAGATACGACCATGTTTCGCCAAAATACATGCTTATCAAAAATTACAAAAAAAAATTAATTTTTTTGACCCCTGAATTGTTTTGAGTAGAGTAAATAGATATTGTTGATTCAATTGGTGATTGAAAATGACATTGAAGACGTCACAAAAGGTACACAAGACATATCAGTGAAGGAAAAAATAAAAATGACATCACTGAAACAAAGTTTTTAGAATTCAATAAAAACAACCACACCATAGATACATACAGACTACATCTTTACAAAAACAAAACACTTAGCAAAAAACACATAATTGTAACAAATAACAAAATATACTGAATTAAAAAGCTAGCGGTTAAGACGTTTGTAAAAATAATCCCCTAAGTCAGGTTTGACTTGTATTTGCCAAGTGATAATTATATTCTCAAAACAGTGGCGAATTGTTGATGACACTGTCGTAAATTCGCAGTATACAAAAGAGAATTTTCCCAAGTATAAAAAATTCCTTACCAGTCGTTTGAAAAAGTATTCTGTCGTCCCGTTGGCACATCTTGATCTAGCTCCTCGTCAAATGCAAAATCTAACTCTTCACGTTCCAGACTTTTGGTCTTCTGCTCCTTTTTCCCCTTGTTCTCCTTATTCTTCCTTTTAACCTGCATCCAGTTTGTATCATCCTCGTTTTTTTCGTTGTTTTCATCGATCCTGCTTGCCTTATTTTCTCCCACTGACACCTCATTTATGGCAACCCCATTCATCATGGTTGTTGCATCATTCGTGTTTTCAGTGTTATTTTGATTCTCCTTGTTGTTTATTTCCATGGAGTCTTGGTTATTGTTATTATTTAATTTTTTCACATCTGAAAAACAATGAGTAATAAAGATTTCGTCATTTTTTTCCAACAGCCTGTCTGGAGGAGTATATACTTTGAATCTGATTGTGTCATGGTGTGTATAGGGATGGCTGAAAAACAATGTTATCAGGTTTTTTTGCCAAAAATGGTATTTTTTATGCATTTTCTAGAATCATAGATTGTTAAGAGAAGTATTATAACCAGAGGTATGAACAAAATTTTCAAATGTTTGAGAATTAAATACAGGGTGGACTATAATAAAATTCATTTGAAAGCAATGTGAATGAAAGCAGTTTAGACCTATAAGGGTTTGCTAATTTTTATGATATCAAAGGACATTGGCAATTTAATACTCTTTAAAATGGAACCTCAACTTGTCAAGCACTCGCCTGCAAGTTGATCTTGAGATTGCCACCATTTCGTGTCTAATGCTTTGCTTTAATTCGCTGAGGGTTTTTGGATTCGCTTTTGAGATATCCCCATAAAAAGAAATCGTTGTGGCCAATCAATGTCATCTCCCCTCTATATCGCTGTTCCAGGTAACATTTCTGGTCCGACGCCCGTGCTCACGTCAGGTGACGCCGTCCTGTTGGAACCACGTCATGGAGTTGTATCCATCAAAATCTTGGAGCTTTAAGGCCAAAAACACTCTCAGCCTTCTATCATAACGTTCTAAATTAACAGTTACAGATTGCCCGCGATCGTTCTCAAAAAAGTAGGGTCCAATCAAACCGCTAGCTGTTATTGCTGCCCAATTCGTGACTTTTTGGCAATAAAGTGGTTTTTGATGCCTCAGCGACGGCTGCTTCGCACTGCAGTATCGACAGTTTTGCTCGATCAAAAAACCGTTAATGAAAGTGAGCCTCGTCCGAAAAGAGGATGTTTCTCAAATCACAAAACCGCTCAAGCACTAACACTAAAATTTCTAATCTCTTTGTAAGGTTGTCCTTAAAGGACAATCTTGAACGATTTGAATCTTGTATGGATGAAATTTCAGGTCACGCTTCAACATTCGTCTCAAACTCTACGTGTTGAGAGCTCTGGATCGACTCAAACAGATTCACTTCTCTATTCTTTGATCCGTTTGTACAGTCCGCGGGCGATCTTAACGTATTGTTGGAAAGGTTAAACAGGGTTCGTGAAACCTCCTCAATCATTGATTCATTAAATTAGTGCTAAGGCACTCATTAATACGCCTCAATCCATCTATGATTCGATATAAACGTCGCACAGTGACATAAGAATGATCAAAAATTATTTTTTGAAGTCTTCGAATAATTCTGGCTGAAATATCTTCTTTTTTAAGCATGTTAAAGAAACTTATCCTGCAAAAGTTCTGGGCATAAGCTACTTCTGGTTCTGAGGGTGAAATTGAGATAAAATGTACAGTATCCAAAATGCCTACCTATTTCATGCGGAATAAACTCGGCGACATCGGGATTCAAGTTTTCTACATGTCTTTCTCTAAGTGTTTTTGGTAAAGGTGGTGGAGGCACAAGTTTGGCAATTATCTCGTCGTCTTTTTCAGTAGACTTATCTAGAATTGGCCACTTAAGAGGATCATGCTTGGGGCGAACCTAAAAATAATCAAAATCGTGTACCGACTCTCATAAAAGATAATATTCATTAGCCGATCAACCAAGAACAGTAGATGTACAAGGTCTGTAAATTTAGTGGTGTTAGTTCGATGTGGCAATAATGGAGGCTCTGGGCTTGGAGGGGAGACAGGGTTCACCTTCAGTACAAGTTTGAACTCGCTCGGGTCATTTGGTTGTCAGTAGCGGTTTTTTCAGGTCTTTTCTATTGTGTTCTAAAAATGAGTGACACCAATTTCAAGCGATGGTGTGCTATCAGGTTTTGCTTCAAACTGCGGCACAGTGCAAGAGAAACTCTTGCTAAACATTCCTACGGAGATAGTGTCAAGAGTTCAGATTTTTCGGCGGCATAAAGCATTTTCAGAAGGGAGAAGCTGAACCACGATGCGGAATTCTTTCATCTTCAAGAACGGATGAAAACATCAACAGAATCCGAGATCTTGCGAGTTCAGGCCGTCGGCTGATGGTCAGAATGATCGAGGCAGAGTTAAATTTGACTCACACCACCGTTCATCAGATCAAGAGCAACTGGGTGTTGCATAGGATAATGCTCCTTGTCACACGGCAATGTCAATAAACGATTTTTGGCCAGTAAAAACATTCTTGTGTCTCCTCAGCCTCCTTATTTGCCTGACTTGAGTCCTTGTGACTTTTTTGTTGGGAAATAATCTCAAGGGACAGTCGAAAACAAAAAACGGCTGTAACCGACCAGCTGACGGTTATTCCAGTATCGCAGTTCCAGCACTGCTATGGGGAGTGGAAGAACCGTCTTCGGCTCTGTGTGGCTTCAAAAGGAAGTTATTATATTCGAAAAAAAAAATATATAAAAAAACTGATCACTTAATTTACAGACCTCGTAGACGTAATATTAAAAGAAAAAATACCTTGAAGCCTGCAGACAATTCTAATTTGTCGGAAGAGCTGATAGCTTCGACAATCAAGGCCACGTTATTAGTGAGTGATTGTACTCTATGGAATGAGGCTATCAAGGTAACTGGAAGGTACCCCTCAGGATCCATTTTTCTTCTTAGAAAAAAGTCCCTGTTTAAATTATCATCACTGAAATAGTACTCGCTGAAAAGGAAGGAAAAAGTAGTCGGTTAATTTTGGATGCAGTTTATGAAAACTAATGAGGAAAAACTTACATTTGGTTGCGAATATATTCCTTCAATGTTGGCCCGTCTAAGCTGAGGTAACTGTTGCTGTTGAAATAATAGGTCCCCATGTAGGGAACCACAAAATTGTGGCCATCTAGAGATCCACTGAACCTTGACATCTGAAAAAGACACACAATTTTATAGTAATTGTGAGGACAACAGTTTTTTGTACGAAATAATATCTCATAGATGCACCCGATGTTCCATAAAAAATACACGCTTAAATAATTCAGAACGGAAAATCGACATTCAGTATCAATTTTCAATATTTTCTTGCATCTAAATTTTTATATACATTGAAAATGAGAAATCGTTTTGGAATTTCTGTACTAATATTCATCACCTTTTTTAGATTTTACAACAAATAGCTGAAAAACCTAGTGCTCAATAAAGTGCAATATGATCTAAATGTATCTGAATGTTTCCGAACTATCTAAAGACTAATTATAAATAAATATAGTCTATTTAAACGGCTAATATAAACACCTAACAACAACATTACTTCTTGCCAAGAATTGCATGCTGCAATTCCATTTTAATCCAGCATCAAAAACATAAACAAATGCTTCCTAGCAAACTAGTTATAAACCTTCTATAAAGACAAATTCTGATTTATAAGTTGGATAACAGAAGTGTAAGTGTAAAACAATGTCGCGAGGCATGGTGTCCGTGCGGAAAGTTCAGGAAGTCTGCAAATTCAGTTTGAGCCGTGAAATGTAAAGACGACGAAGTGAGACGGAAGTTGTTTCTTAAGACCTTATTGTCAAATATCAAACAAAGTGACCATTTTCGATTTGGGTCTCCTTATTTCTAATGTGAGGCAAGCATAATGTATTTTCTGTAGACATAAATCAATGGTAAACTGGTAAATAGTGAAATAAGGAAGAAACGACTATACAAAGCAACAAAGTCGCTTTCTTCCTTGAGAATGATAGTTGACAACTTTTGCCCCTATGAGTCATGTCAAGGCAAATAAGGATGCCTTAAGTGAAGAATGACTATGCATTCGGGCCTAAAGGCGCGTTCTCACTAGTGGACGATATTTGAACAACAATGTTCAACTAGAATGAAAAACCTAGTATCCCATTTCGATGTTTGGTCAACGCTTATTGAACGCACATCAATTTATATCATTTATAGAACGATTTTATCAACATATGTATATAGTGAAATTCGCCTTCACGGGCACCTTTAAATGGACAGTTTCTCATTGTCCCGACCAACTTTCATAGAATTTGCATTGTATTAACTCGCTCTCTTGGATCGACATTCTCTTGAATGAACGCAGACACGAGAAAATGTTCCCCTAACCGAACATAAAAAATATAAGAAACGCCTTGTATTATTTTTTACCGAAGTCTAATATTACTCAAACACCTGTTAGTAAACAATGAAACTGCTGGTACAGCTTTTGAGTTAATAAACCACGTAACCAAAGGAACAGTGCAAAATTGCTTCCGCAAAGCAGGATTTGAGCATGAAAATATGCAAAGTGAAAACCAGTAAAATGAGGCGGATACACCTGATCCAGAAGGTGATTTACCACTTACTACTTTCAGATATCCTCAAAAATGAGGATTTATTGAAAAGACTGATAATGAAAACATTAAGATTTTTTTGTATGTTGAAGACACAGGCCTAGAAATTGAAAATCCAGTAGGAGTACAAAAACTTTCTGAAGATTCTGATGTCGATGAGATTCAGGTACCAACAGAAGCTATTCCAAATTATGGTTTTAGCTATTACCCTGACCAAGCAGCTTAAAAGATTTGTCGAAAATCCGGGAGGTACAGAGTCTTTGAAGCTTTTTTCTAAATTAGAAATACGATTTCATTACGCCATTTTAAAGAAAAAGAGGAGACAAACGACAATATATGAATTTTTGCGTCCATAAAATGACTTTTTATTTCATAGTTTTGTGTTACTACATTTAGGTATATACACATACATATTATATTATACATGATGTACATACGTTGTATATATCTCAAAGTAACAACATTTTTTCTTATTACAGTTTTTTGTTTATTTTAAAGATATTTATATACATACACGTTTTAAATGTCCCCAGTTTCTTTAATATAGTCAGTTTTCATTAAAAACACGATTTTTGTTCTATTCGAACACCCCTTTTGAACCGAGACTTTCAGTCGGTCCCATTGGTGTGCGTAAAAGGTGATTTCACTGTTTATCAATATTTAATTATTCATTGATTTCAAAAATATTAACAAGCATTAAAAGTCACAGGGCAGAGACCCATGAAAATGCAATATTTGTTGATTTGGCTTTGTGTAGACCAAAAACGGCTGGAAAGTGGGGTGGTCAAAAGGAGTTTTTCAGATTCAAATCAGAAATATTAATGTTTGTTGAATGTAAAAATAGAATTGAAAGGGATAGCGTATTATCCAGTAAAACAAAAAAAAAATCTGACGACGGATCAAAACATTAAGAAAACACGAACTTTCTAACAAGTTCTCAATAATCTTGATCTGAACCAGTTGACATGTTTATTGTTACATTGTGATGAAATGTTCGTCAATTCTGTAGTTACTAATTCAGAAATGACAGATATCAATATACGCCTGAACCAATAACCCATTTTGCTTTTAGTTATTATTGATATGGAAATTTACTTACATGATATTCAAGTGGGAAATCGGGATAGTCTGGATCACTGGGCAACCTGTTGGTAGGTCGGTTGAAAGGGGCTCTTCTAGCGCCCCGGCTTCTACCACCCCTACCTCTAGGTGCTGCAGAGGCTGGCCTTGCTTGTCTAATCACGTGACCATTCATTTCTCTTTCAGCCCTCCAGTCTCGATCTCCCTCACTTACTGTGGACTGGGCATCTCCAGATCTATCCGATCTTCGCCTTTACCAAACACGAGAAAATATATTGCAATTAAAAATATAAACTAAATAATACTATCGACCATCGGACCAAAAAGGCATGGCCAGCATTGTCTGGGCTTGATCTTTCTGAACAACGAACTAAGCATCGTAACTACCCTCTATCCACGAGGTGCACTCTATCGCAATATTCACGTCCAAATACAACACCCAAGTTCAGAAAAAAACTGCTCTTGGAAAAATATCAAAACAAATAGGCAAAATCCAAATGCATGATAATACTCAATAATTTCCCCCTCCAATATTCACAGAACCAGTGGCACTGTCAAAGGGACAATTTTGGAAAACGAGTTAAGATATCAAAATTCGTAAATTAGGAAAACTATTTGTTCATAATCCCCAAATTACTGGTTTACTCAAAGCTATATTATACATTATACAAGCTGGTGGTTTGAAAAGTGTCTTGGTGTTTTCCGTTATTAGGCTAATGTTAAAGTGACCTTTGATATTTGTATGTACCAAAACTCGTATAAATTCCTCTATTTTCGAAAAATGTAAGTTGAACCATCATGCTTCACATACACTTCAAGAAGTACGGTTCAGGCTGGAGTTTGCAGGGTGCTCAATTTGAAACTGACGAGTCTCTTGTGATACTAAACTAAAGCGTGTAATCTCCCGATTACTATTATGAAAGCTAATCAATTGATTAATCATGAATGATTTCTGAATTCAGAAAATCACGATTCATTTGAAACAAAAATTTCATAATATGAAACCCTGTATATGCTTCCAAAACCACGACCGAAAGTTATGAATCACACTTGGGGGGTGCATTTTATCTGCAAAAAGTATTTTATGTATCATTTAAAATCAAATGCCACAAAATGAAATTCTGGAATGAAAAACATTTTTGTAGTTTACTGGACCTTTTTGATGTTTGTATTTACCTGTCCTGCTTGTTAGTTTTCTTCAGATCAATGTCTAGGGGTACCCATTTCTGTTTAGTTGCTTTTTTCTTATCATCAGGTTCTTCCTGTAGCGGCTTATCCTTGTCTTTCAGCGTCGATGCGGCACTTGAAGCTTGAGCAGTTATTGGACTATGCGATCTCCTCTGTTGGCAATCAGACACACCCAAAATAAAAATCTTCGGAAATTGAACAATATCGAACTACATCAAACCGCTGATTTAGGCTGCGGTCAGAGTGGCACCGTTTTCGGCCGAAGAAGATGGTCTGTATGACTCCGTTTTCGGAGAAAACATTTGAAAGGTTCTGCTATAGTTCTATCTACGCGATAGTTGGCTTTTATTTTGCGGTTGTAGCAAAATGAACTTACAGATGCTTTTATCTGCAGAAACGAGTACCGCCTTGAAGATATTATTAATGAAAAAGAAGAAATATCGCACAAACTATATTTTTCGCTCCAGGACAAGATTTGGAGAATATTATACCCTCTTTCAGCTACTACTGGAGCAACCAGCAAAATTATTTGTTTCTTGTACACTATTTTTTATTCCAAACTGTTTATATTAAGAATAAAATATCCAATACTTACTCGTATTATGTCTCTATTGTGGTAGTTTTTATGTCTTATATCCCACACTCTTTATTCCAAAAATCAGACTAATTAAAATTTTACGGTCAACCATTTTTATGAAATTATTCGCATCACAATTCACCGAAGCTTCCGAAAAAACAAATTATTTTGATTTAGTCCGATAGCAAGAAACTAAAAAGATCGGAGGAATCTGACATAGCCTTAGGCCGCGGACAGAGTGGCTCCATTTCGGCCGAATAATATTTTGGCCTTGTACGCCCGTGTCGGGTTTTATCGATTTTTTATGACTTGGATTAAAATTTAAAAAACATACTTTGTGGGACCTTAAGAAACGATTGATGGATGATCTCGAAATATGCAGTTTTTCTATTTTCTTTCACTTTGACATTGCCGTAAGAAGTGTGACAGACAAAATATGTAAAGAGGTTCAACAATCTATGCCCTTTTTTGGCATTAGTGTAAATGTTTAGCTGTACCGTAAATGTGTAGAAAGAAAATATGTAATTTTATTATGCTTACTTATAAGCATTCCCACTGGTAGCAATTGTCTTTTTATTCTAGAATTTCCTCCCCTTAGTCGCGGCGCTAGTGCATTTGAGGTGGAGTTCGAAGTTTCAACTGATTTTCCCTATATACATCAATAATATGGATTTATTTCATTGAAAGCATTTGTACTTACCACATAATAAAGCCGTTAGTGTGTTTATGTTACATTTTACATTTAAAATATGAACACAGCTATTAAAAAATCAAAAATTACGAATTTCGTAATCATCCGTATCACAATCGTTTTTTCATATACAACAAAGTATATATCAATGACTTTTTAATTTTTATCGCACTTATAAAAATTCGATAAAACCCGACTCCTCCTTAGAGCAATCTGTTACTAGTGTAGCGTAGTGAAGATTGATTGCTAGAACTTACCTCAGGATTATTTCCCAAACTTGGCCAATCGCATGCGTCTGCGAAATCACTAGCCTGGAACAGAGTAGCAGAAATATAGAAACGTGCAAAAACATAATCTGGATTATCTTTAATTAATCACTTTGGAATGCTGTTAATGTTCTCCACCGTTACCTGACCGATTTTCAAAAGTGTAGCAAACTATATTATATTGCGGTAAAAAATAGCGCGCAAACGCGGAATGACCTATTTGCACAATAGGAACTACCTCAGCAAGTTGGCATTTTGTCGTTTTTGACATTCTATAAGTTTTTTACGTAATAACCCCTGTCGACTTTGTCAACTTTTTTTGCTGCTCTCTTCCTTTTCGGTACCAGAGTATAATAGCGAATACTCTGGTACTGAATTATATACTAAGTGACATATAAAATGCAACACCCAAAATTATTTATTGAATGTTGATAAAAACTTGCTAACATGGAAGTATACGATGATAAAATGTTGAAGGTATTCCAAGCCGTACTTTTTCTGTAAAGGCTTTTTTTGTCATATCAGGATCCGACTAATATGAACATATTTAATTAATATTCAGTGATTTTTCTGTGTTTGTTTCATTGTTGTGCCATTGCATTATCATGCATAGAGTTCGCAGCCGCGCTAATTTCACTCAGTTTTCCGAGTTTGAGAGGGATCGGATAATCGGGTTCCGTGAAGCCGGATTTTCTTTCAGAGAAATCGCTAATCCGGTGAATTGAAACGAAGATGTTGTCGAGCGTGGTTCCAAGAAGGCCGAAATCGACGAGTTAGGGGTACTGGACGTGAAAGACAGACTAAAGAGCGACAGTATCGTTATTTGAGGCAACTAGAAACCGATTTATATTTATAAGTAGACCTAAAACTTGTAAAACTATGCTCAGAATTGCAGCACTCCTAGTTGGTGTTGCATTTTCTATGTCATTTAGTATATATTCCGATATTCTTATTCTGGGGACCTCGGTTGGCCGGGTGGGCCAGAGTGTCGTGCTACTGATCAGCCGGCCGACCGGGCCGCGAGTTCGAATCTCGCCTTCGGAAATTACATTCCGAAGCCATGGATGTTGTGGCGTGATGTGTTAATACATATTTGTAAGAAACCTAGTGACTGGCTGCATGGACTCCTAGTCCTAACGCCAAAAAAAAAAAATCTTATTCGGAAACCATATTTTGTCAGGGGTGCCACAAGGGTCTATAATTCGACCTTTCTTATACATACGGCAGATATTTTAAGTATGCAGCGGAAGTGTAATGATTTTAAACAGACAAAATACGAAAGTATAGCTGAATCGCAACGAATTCCAGAGCAACACTGAAAACTTTTGGTATTAGAAACATTTGTATCACTGTATAACGTCGTGTTTAACGAAACAGAAAAATATTGAACAATAAGTAATATACAATAGTATATTAATCATTGCCGTTATCTCTATCGTTCCAAAACGCGCACAATCCATATTCATGATAATACTCAAATAAAGATTTCCCCAGTCAATATTCATAGAACCAGTGGCGCTGTCAAAGGTTCAATTATAGAAACTTGTCGATTGTTTTGAGAATTACACGAGTTAAAACATGAATCAAAACAAAAAGGAAAACTGTTGATAACCGCCAAATTTCTGCCCTTGATTGGGACCTTGGTCCTTCCCTGTACCAGTTTTAAAAAAAAAGTTATGCACAAAAGTTTTAGGGTCTAATATAATGTTTAAACGCAATATTTTTTTGCCTCAAAAAAGAGCAATCAAGAAAAGTTGTACTTTTTAAATGGAATGGAGTTGTATTTTTTAGTGTAAATGATATTTCGATTCCCAAAAGGTTTCGAACTGATGGAACACCATACTTATTCACCTGACTTGGCACCTTCTAATCATTACCTTTTTTCTGAAGCTGAAAAAAAGATCGCGAAGGTTTAGAAGTTCTACAGCATCGATGTAAGAAGAGTACTGAGTTAAAAGGGGACTATGTTGAATATTAGAATATTTTCAGTAATAATATCCCCTTACATATTGTTGCAACAACTGGTCAGGCTCCTTACAATGCTGAGTCTAAAATTGTTGTTCATAAAATAATATCTCAATCTTCTAACTATAAAAACAATTTTCTGAAATATGTTGTTCAAAATAACGAAACTACGTTTTCAGATCGAAAACGACATATCAGTAAGAATCGCGAGGAAAACACAAGTTGAATGTTTCCTAGCATTAGAACCAGCATTTTCAGATACGCGGTATTTAAAAATACAGTATCTCAACAAAGCGTCCAACTTAATATTATAACACCTACATTTTCAAAATGTTCTGGCAGGCCACCAAATGCTCAGAGGTGTAACAAAAATAATTTCGTTCGTCTAGTATATCAACTAGCTGCATTAAGCTAGAAGTGGGCCAGACTCCTCGAGGATTTAGAGCGAAGAAAAATAGATTTCATTGGCAATATTATGCATGGAAGAACATTTAATCAGCCAAGATCACAGGACTCGGACACCATTGAGCCCCTTATACGTTCTACTCAGGGGAAGGAGTTACCCTTAGGTTAGCCCCAGAAAAATGGCATCGAATAGATTGAGTCTATGCTACCTAAGCCTTCTTTGAAGGTTTAAAGGGAAAGGGATGAGTCAAATCGTGTCAAAAGGCGAAATCGAATCGTGATTAGGTAGATTCACTCAGGTACCACGAATCTTCGACCTCTGCATATATCAAAATACAAGAATGGCAAAAGTATATAGACAAATTAATATTGTATTTCTTTTTTAGCTTGTTTTATTGATACACCAACCTGTATACATAATTCGTTATAGCATAATACTCACTTATACATAAATAAATTCATTAGACCTCCAATAAAAAATTAATTGAAAAAACTGGAACTATGAACGACAAAAATATATAGACAAAGCAAAACAATTATAGAAAAACGATGCAAAGTTCATTGAATTATAGAAAACCAACCATGTTTGTGTTAATATTTTGTGGCATAACCATTATTATCAATCACCGCCTGGCATCGTCTCGGCATAGATTGTAGAAGTTTCTTGATATAAGATTCATCAATCTGTCTCCACTCTTGCTCTAAAGCGGCAAAGAGTTCATCCTTGTTTGAATAATTTTTGTCTGTGAAATCCATTTGAGAACTGGTATTTTTTCATCCAGAAAGAATTTATTTGCGAGATTTGAAGTGTGCTTCGGGTCATTACCTTGATGGAAGATTGATCTTAAGGGAATATTATCTACCATATAGGGTAACATGACATGCTTTAGTATGTCTGTGTATACAAACTTATCTATAATGCCATCTATTCTATGTAAAGGTCCCATCCCAAACCCCGAAAAAGCACCCCCAAACCATAACAGACCCGCCTCCATGTTTGACAGTGGGCAAAGTGTACTTGGGGTTCAATCTTTGTTCACTAGGACGTCTAACGTAATGAACACCATCTGATCCAAACATATTGAACTGAAACATACCCTCTTCCAGTCACAGATGCTCCAATCAAGTTGCAACCGTGCAAATTGTAATCGGTCCTTACGGTTGTTCCTGAAGATTAGCGGCTTCTTAACTCGGGCGACGTGCAAATAACTTCAAATCATTTAATCTTCTACTTTCGTAGAAACACTGACAATTCCTTTCGTCTCGATTTCGGCTTTTATTTGTCTTCGGGTTTTAAACGAATCTTTGGACGAAATTACTTTTATTAATCTAACTGATCTAGCATTTAGTTTTCTAGGCCGACTACTTCTCTTAGACTTCCAAGATACCTTTTTGTTTATATTTGTTCAATATTGCCCAAACGCTTCAGCTTCAAATTTTTGGCAATGTCGACTTGACGTTGACCATCTTTGTATAACTCAATGACCTTAGTTTTCACATCGAAAGAAATTTCTGGACCACGCGGAATTGTCTTAAAATCACTCAACTTATTCCACAATACTTGATGAACACAAACTAATCCTCTTCTGACACGAAACTGTACTAAACTAATGTTGAAAAGAATTTGTCTATATATTTTTGTCCCTCATAAAAAAGTGCTTACATTCAGACTTGTATTGTGTTCATTGCAGATATAATAACGCATTTGTTTATGGAGCAATGAAGTATGAATTAGTATGAGTAGAAGGTATTTCATGCTCTCCAAAAAATGTCTGATAATGAGCTGAAATCTCTGAAACGTTGTAACATTATGGTCCAGAGATTTTCTTTTTGCCGTGCCGCCTCTAAATGAATTTTCAAAATCTACAACTACCTAAACGATATAAGCAGTAAGCTCGTGATAATATTCCAACTTCGGTTCACAAGTTTTCTGTAGCTTATATCAATACACGCCATATGTACTGAGCCAATCTACTTGACGAGAACCATCATAGACGGGGCACCACAAATTAAAGGTAAAGCTAACGCTGAAGTGGTACGTACTCCTAACATCAAAATAATGCTAAAAGATATAAATATTTCTCCTGTAGCGGTGTGTCAGTGACGACACCACCGCAGACCAGTTTGTTGCCCAGTACATAGTGGCCTCCACGACGATGCAGCATCGCGCCGTGCACGCAATGCCAACGATTGCCAAGCTATTTCGAATTATAAGCACATTATACATCGGACCTTTATCATTTAATTTTCCCGTTGTTACCGGAATAAGCTTTTTAATGATAGAAAGTCTTTGACTAATACTAAATACGTTACACTTACAAGCCCCAACCCCCAAGTTTCAGCCCTTCCAAAAAATATCCGAGAAAGATCAGGAGACCCCGAAACGTCACAAAAAGAAGTTTAAAGGATTTTTTTTTGTTTTTCTCCCTAGCTCCGCCACCACGAGATAGATTTTCGAGAACTATAAAACATGTGCTTAAACACGGGAACATATTATTATTTCACGTGAACTCACGAGCTATCACACAGACTCACGATAGATGAGCAATGTGGAACGCCACTAACGCAAACGCACGCTTCTCCCAGCCTATTAATTTATATTTTGGTACCTGAGTTTGCGTGATAGCTCGAAATTTCATGTGACGTGATAATGTGTTTCCGGCCTCATGAAAAATATGCTGAAACATGCGAGATGATACGACTATATGATTATTTATTAGATCATTTCTCAGCTATCCTACTAATGAAGAAGTGCTGCTTGACCAGTTTCTTAACCCAACCCTGTTAACAGGGAGCTCTCTCCCTCTTAACAGTAACAGGGCCGGCTTGAGGCGCAGGTTGTCAAATAAATTTACTTACTCGATGTTTTTTACAGAGTAAGCATTCTGTAATTTCATTTGTGTCTTCAACGAATTTATTAAGCAGATTTTTTTAAAAGCAACAGTGATGCACTGTTATTATAAATAGAATGCTCAGTAATGGCGACGTTTCAAACTATTGTATCACTTTTGTTTGTGCCCGGACACAAATAAAAAATAGTTTTTGTAGCTGAATCATGTTATATACTAAGTCCTGAAATCAGATAATTTTTCTCTAGCTTGAGAAACATTTTACAAGAAATCCACCAAATTAATTAGATCCATTACTTCAAAGAAACCTTCTATTGGTTCAATTTGTGCCAAAGATGCAAATTTTTATTTCTAAGGGATAGGATGATGATACACTTAAGGACTAGCATTGCAAATGCCCTGTTGCCTTATCGGTACGAGAATCTGTTATGAGAGAGCGTCGGCTTTTCTCTGGCTAACGTAAGGGAAGCTCTACTGGGTAGTATCAATACCTCCATAAAAAGTATGGGGTGGCTGAATATCCAACACTAACGCATGTATCTTCAGTCGTTCCTACAATTGTTAGACGCCTTTATGGTCTCCTTGATTTTCATAATTTTCTACTGTTCCGTGTCAGCGCTCTATTTTGAGTTTATGTTACAAATGTCTATTTGCATCAAATTGTTCATGCTTTTGGTTTATATCATCTGTTATATAGCCTCACAATAATAGAGCGCTGAAGCTGACAGGAAACAGTAGAAATACCCCAGCCTTTCTGAAGGAGAGAACATACTATGAAAATCAAGGAGGGCATAAAGGCGCCCTACAATTGTATGAACGACTTACGATACGGCCCAAGTACCCTCGGAGAAGACGTAAAAGGGGCCCAAGTTTTGCACTGAGTAGCCCCCAGAAAAGACGACGGGCTCAAGTTCTGTAATATTAACTGATCACCCTTGCTCCAATACAGACTACAGAAGTAGAGTCAAAATCCTACATCGCACTATTTCTTAAAAAGCATTATGCGAAAAATCTATACGATTTCCCAACCTACGACACGCCACTGTGTATTCGCGAGTCAACCTTGAACGCGACTCTATATCAAAAATCTGCCGATATTTGTTACACTTCAAAGTATAATAAATCTATCCGACACCTAAAAACATAAAATTAACACCAACATACCATATTCACATGTTGATTTGAGGAAGCACTTACTGTGGATATACAAAGAGCTTGTAAATCTGTTACTCCATACGAACGTACACCGTACACACATACACACGTATGGCAAGTAATTTAATACACAAAACAAAACCGTGTGTGACGTAAGGTTGTTATCTGGAGTCAAAAACATTGTGCGAAGTATAAAATACAGCGTATTTCACTTATTTGGAATGAACTTGACTCTGTAAGCTATGAAGTATGACATATGACTACTAGTATCTTATTTACCGTGCATCAGACAAAATATTGCATTTTGCATTTATCCGAGGCAACTCCGAAAAGGAGCGTTTAAACGCGTCATATACAGGGTGATTCAGAGAATATTTCTAGGACATAAAGAATAAGACGCAAAGTTCATATTGAAAGAAACTCTCACAGAGTAGCCTTCTACCGTTTACATGCTAAGATGGAATGATTGTAACAGACTCAAAGGCTAAGGCGACTTGAAAAAATGGTGATTCATTATCACGGATTTAAAGATTGTGCTTACACCCCTTGACGAGGGAAAATCGCACACCTAGGATAAGTTGTAACGCAGCACAATCTCTTAGAATCACTCGTATTCAATATTAGAAAAACATGGCGTCAAGTAGATTGACTCTATACTTCCTACGCGTTCGTTGGCGGTTTCAAAAGAAAGGATTGAGTCAAATCGTTTCAAAAGGCGAAATGGAATTGTGATTAGGGAAGTTCACTTAGGTACGATGAATTTTCGACCTGTGCATATCAAAACTATATGAAGCAAATCCATCATATTTCTGTTTCCATCACATGTAGGAAAAATATGTGTGAATTATGTCTAACAGGTGCATATTATCACTGAGATCAGCAGATTTTTAATAATAGACACCTTCCCACGTACAATTTTCATTCCCTAGAATGTCTGAAAACGAGCAGGAATCTCTAAAACGTAATAATACTATGTTCAAACGATAGCTTCAAAATTAATTTGCAAAATCTAAGTATCAAAAACTCGCAATACTATTCGAACTTGACAAGTTTTCTGTTGCTTGCACTTTACCAAGCATAGGAAAACGTTCCCGTGCCCGGAAGTAAAAACAAAATGAACACTGATATAGTTCTATGCATTAAATATGCGAAATCGACATAAACACACTTTGGCTTAAGCCGGCCCTGGATCGCCACTTGCTGTGGCCTGAACCAAGGACTGTATTTATTTTGTTGGGGGCCCACCACTAACTACTCCCACTACTCTACAAATACTAAACTACTCATGCTAAACCTGAAAGAGAATATTATGTTTGGATTAGAATGGTTTCTTTTTTGATTGGAGAGAAAACTGGTCAAAAAGTTGACCATCAAAACAACTCCTTTGTCATCCGAGATTTGGCTAGGCGCCACTACCAAATAACGAATGACAATCCTGATTGGTGACGATCGTCTCCTTCGAAGTCCATCGAAATCGACCACATTGAATTTTATGGGTTCTGCAAGAGTATCTTACAATGCGGCGCCTTCTATTGATCAATTACTATTATCACTTGCTTGAATTTTTGACAGTCATATGCTCACAGAAAACTAACAATAACCTCGGATGGTAAACATAAACATTCCAAATGCACCAAGAGATTTAACAAATGTAAATACGCAAGTGGCAGATGATGGATGGAAAAAGAAAATAATTAGTGCCAAATTGTGCACGTGCATCTTTCAAACTCGAATTCATCTCAGGTTTTTGTTTATTTATCTAGCCATCTGTGAAATCAATCATTTGATGCGTGATAGTGCATTTGAGGTTATGCGTGACTATGGTGTAAGTTTTATCGGATTTTCTGTGGATATATACAAAATCAGCATTATTTCACCGAAACCGTTTTATTGAGTATTTTAAGGTGCAGATCCACAATGAGATTTTTCATGATACTTTTGTATCGTGAAATAAAAATCTCATGAAAATGCATGAGATGATCTCTTGAAACAATGAAAGTTTAATCTCTTGTACAAGTTTCAAAGTGTGAACATGATATGTCGCGAATCTCGCAAGAGACATTTGTTTCACGTGCTGAGTTATGTTGTTATATCGTGAGATAGAACTTTTCTTCACGAAAATACGTGAGCAAAGTGGAGTGGGGCTTAAAAAGGAAAAATTCTAGTTGCAACTGGACTAGAGCCTTGATACCAGAGTTAACAGAGTTATATGAAACTTATCCCAATTTGTAGGACTGCTCTTCAGAAAGCTATGAAAATGGAAATTTGAGACAATCAGCCATGGACGAAAACCGTTCAGCAGCTGGAATTACATTTAGAATATGTGTGCCTTGTTTTTCTATTGCAAACTTTAAATTGTCCAGCAATTACCGAAAATCGGCAGCGGATATACGAAGAAAGTTTTTTATTTTAACAAGGTTCCTACTACTGTGCTAGATATCACTGTTGTTTTTTTATAGATAGATACCCATATTTTTATTAGATATTCGGATAGACCCAAGTACTTTTGCGTTTTGTCAAGTTTTCTTGGGATACTACATATTTTATCTATGAACATGTCAAACCGAATATCGAATACAGTAAAGAATTGCATTTTTAAACAGATTCTCCTAATTTCGTCACATAATCACTATTGACTAGGTACCTAAAAACAACTTAAAAGTAGCGAGATTTGAAAAAATGAAAATACACAATGTGTCATATTTGGACGTTATATGGAACAATGAATTACGTGATTTTGCAACTCTGTAGAATTAAATGATTCGAACAATTCAAGAAATCTAAACTAGGTAGCAACTGTAAGATATCTTCTTGCAGAACATTCAGTACGCTGTCTTTTAAAGAAGTCGTTTTGTTTATTTTACGTATCTTAATAAGTACTCGACAAATCTCAGAGGTATGTAGATTTATCCAAATATTTAATGAAACTACAGGTATCAAAGAGCAACTTTGTTATCCAAATATAATCATGTATTTTTTTAATCTATTCCCACAAGGAATATGTAGGATAATCATAAACAGCTTTCGTATCTCGGAGCAATACTCCATGCAAGTTTGGGCTACCCTGTACATATATTATGTCAGAACTGCAATGTTGCTCAACCTAAGCCGGTCAATAGAAATGACGACAAGAACTAAAATGGCAGCTATTACATATCCGGTACTGAACCTACAATAAGCTGTAATAGGCTTCAAAGTGCCCAACTTAGAGGCCCTGTATCTCGGAAACATTTTGAGACCAGGGATACTTTTATTGTACATCTTGAGACCTACAATATACAAATTACAAAAGAATAGTCGAAAGCCATCCCCTAGAAGGTTTCTGCGGGGTCCTTTCAATAACTTGACCATATTTCAAACTTCAAAAACTTTAGTTCTTCATAAAAAACGTAATAATCCTTTAGGTGTTGTTTGTTGAAGCTTAACAAAAAACAAATTATTTTTATTTATAATTATCATGTAACATGTTTTACTTCGGAGCTTTAGAGTTTTTATCAACGCATTTTTTAATCGCTCTAATCTAAATTCCTAACGTTATATCTGTGCATGCAAAAAGTAGAATGGTTTTATGATTTACGATATGTATTTTTTAAGATCTGAATCTTTTACCACTCTCATTATGTAATATTCGTCTGTCAAATCTGATAACTTATCTCATTGTTCTGTTAACAATGAAGTAGATATTTTACAGTTAACAGATAGATTGATACTGATGGTTTTCAATCTATGCAAATAATCTGTCCCCACATTGATTCACGGAAAAAATCCCAAACATTTCTCGGAATATTATAAAAAATGACGATAAGCAGGCCTTTATTTCCGCTGCCACTGGTCAATTTTCAAAAACTACAAAGCTTTTGCGTCCTTGGCATAGTAGTGTAAAAAATTCTCGAATTATAGGATTAGCGGACAGACAGACATGATGGACGAGGAGGTACCCAAAAAGAACCGGAATAGCATTGCAGTGGGCGGAGCTTGTGTAGTACACACTTCTGCCCATAAAGGCGTACAGCGCAACTCATGACCATTTCCGCGGTCTGGAGGTACGCTGCTCCCAGCTACCGCAAGCGACTTGCTGCTCTAGAGATGAAGCTACTCCGGATCGCCACCAGTGCACCATCCTACTTAAGAAACTCAACCTTGCGTAGAGACCTGCATTGGGACACCATTCACGAGTACATGAGGAAAAAAGCAGAGAAGACCTTCCAGAAAGCTCAGGACCACCCGAACGAGCAGCTACGACTCCTCATGGACTACGATCCGGACGAGAGGCCTCGCAACCGCAGAGCCAAGAACCCCAGACCCAAGTCACAGTTGGCAGGGGCCCCCCAGGGCGTGGATGCAGATGACGAGGACCAGGACGACCAGGACCAGAATCCATTAGGACCAGGACCCACCAGGACGAGGACCAGCCAGGGCCAAGACCAACCAGGACCAGGACCAGGCAACAAACAGGTAGAGGACTTGAAACTCTTGATTTTTCTAAAACAAGAGTTTCAAGAGAACGCAGCAAACCCTCTACCGATGCTCGCTTAACGACATCGATAGAACTGTGCGAGGTAAAGGGAACCAACCCGGCGTTCCCAGAGACTGAAACACATGAGGAGACGTTATAGCAGACCGCAGGTGACGCACAACACATGGCCTTACCGAAACGCTGATGAGTCGGCCACGCGGATGTTAGGGTTTGTGGGTATTAGGTGGTCTCCTCAAGACAACCTGGAGTCCCACACACGCCGTAGCTCGGGCTATGGTAAGGTGCCTAAATGCATTCCCCATCACACAAAAAAATTACCAGTTCAGTGCCACCCGAGTTGACGATCTGCCTTGTTTCATTCCTCTGTAGTCATTATTTTCGCTAAAGGTGTTTCGTGCTTGTTTCGTTTTTTACGATGGCAAGCTTCAGTGAGCAATGTTGCTATCTAATTGGTAAAAATGCTGCTGAAACTGTTTTAATGTTGAAAATAGCTTACAAAGATGATGCTATGGGAAAAACTCAGGTGTACGAGTGGTTTGCTCGATTTAAAAATGGCGATATGTCGATCGATGACAAACCTCGCTCTGTACGTCTATCAACTGCCCGAATCGACGAAAATGTTGAAAAATTTCGAGAGCTATTTGGAGGTTTTAAGACGATTGCGAAACAGTGTTCGGAAAAAAAGACCTGATTTGTGGCAGTCAGTAGACTGGTTCATCCACCACAATAATGCACCTGCGCACACAGCCATCTCTGTTCGACAGTTTCTGGCTAAAA